TGCATTAACAGCGAATAAGATATTCGAATACATCCCTACTATGTCCCATCCTTATCAATTGTCTAACTTGTGTTGGGTGTCAAAGTCTAATGTAGTCACGAAACACAGGGAATTTATACCAAAAAGAGGAAATCAACTGCGGTGGGGAGTAGAAGAAGGTAATAGTAGCAGTATATCAGTCAGTGCCGAATGGTGATGACACCATCAAGCCTTTAATCTTGCATTCCACCGATTATCATATTAAAAATGTGGATTTACTTTAAAAAATTCAGATGAATGCGTAATGCACCTGTTTGATTCGGTGATGCTTCAGTCTCCTCCGTATTATTTCTGGACCTCTCTTCCCCTAGTATAGAATAGATTAAAATATACTATAGTTGTCGTCTCCGAAAAAAAAAAGAATGGCGATGACACTACTCTCTCTCTCTCTCAAGTCCAAAGTCTCAAGTGTGTGCCCGTTAGTCGGTAGTTGATCCACAATCTCAGAAATTCACCGGTCTCTCTCAAGTCTCACTTTCCCTTCTTCGGTCTGTCTTCAGTTTTGTAAATTAGTAGTTTACCACTCCATCTCTGTACACTACAGTCTCTACTCCTGCCTTTTGGGGGCTCAAAATTACTCCTCACTCACCCCTTCATAGTTTTTTCATTGAATCATTTTTATTTAATATCACCAGACAACAGCCCCCGGGGGCCCCCAGCATCTCCATCTCTCTGACCTCCTCCTCCTCAATTTCCACTCACTTCAGTCCGACTGCTACTACATTTCCCCATTTCACTTTCCATCTTACTCCTGCGTCCTCCTCAACTACTGCTGCTGTTACTAGTACTACCATTCATGTTGCCCATATTTCTTTGACATGTATATGTGCAAAATTCTGCTGCTGCTTTGTTAAGTTGAAGTTTTCAACGAATTAGATCAGTAAATGTTTGGTTAGGCCCCCTGGGGGGTGAATGGATCCGCCAATCGTCAGCCACTCGTCTTTTTCACCTGCCCATGCTTCCTCCTCCTACACTCTCACTGACCTTTGGCCTTTCCCCATCGGACCACCTGCCGTTTTGGGTCTCCCAATGCCCCCCGCCTTGCCAATACCACATGCCACTCCTCCTCCTGTTGCTGCGCTTTCCCTTGAGGAATCCACCGTCACCGACCTAAGTGCTTGCCGCACCAATGCCACCAACAAGCGCAAACATGTCCTTTCTCAACATCACCTTCTTGCTTCCGCTTCTTGTGCCGTTCATTCCGTTATTATATAAATCCCTTTTTTCCCCCGGTTGATGGATAGATTTCTCTGTTATCTTGCTTTGCTTCACTTCAATTCTACCTGCAACAATTCTTCTTTTTTTCCCATTTCTCAAGTTCATTTTTTGATGCTTGCTCTCAATTTTGGTCAATGGACACATTTTTTTGCATGTTGGATTCTTATACAAAATGCTAGTAAATCTTTTAGTAAAAAGATTTCCACTTTTACTGTTTTTTCTTGATGGGCATTCCTAGATTTCTACTTGCAAAAGAAATACTTTTACTACGGAGATATTGATCCCATAACATTTCCAATCTTTTAAAAAAAAAAAAAATTGTAATTTTGGTTTCATCTCTAACTCTTTTAAGTGATTGAGATTTTGTTATCTCCCCATAACTAAACCTAGAAGCCAGATTTCTCTTCCACTGGTTGAGTGATACTGATTTTACTCAACAGAATAATGCAAATGTAAAGCGGATGAAGGCATCAGAAGGAGGAATCGGAGAACAAATTGATGAATCCAAAGCAGAACCGCAGACCAGCTCATACACTACTAACAAGCCTGCTGATCATGACGATACTAACCCTCAGCCACCTAAAGACTATATCCATGTCAGAGCCAGAAGAGGTCAAGCTACTGATAGCCACAGTCTTGCCGAGAGAGTAATTCTCGCCTTGCTTACCTTTGTTTTGTTGGCCATTCATTTCGAGTATTAGTTCTGATGAATGAGCTCTGTTTTTCATCAGGCTAGGAGAGAAAAGATCAGTGAGCGGATGAAAATTCTTCAAGATTTGGTTCCTGGCTGTAACAAGGTCCGCACCCGCACTCTTCTTGTGTATCGCATTAGACCAAAAATTGTTGTGGAATTTGTGCTTTATTACTTCAGGAGAGTGTTGTCTTTTCTCATTTTCACCAGCTTTTAGCTTTCAAAAAATATTTTGCAGCATTTTCTCGATGGATTTTTAGCTTTTCTGCACTTTGGAAGTTGAAATTTTGATGTCAGTTGGACTAGCTATCTGGAATTTTGTTTTACCTAAGCTCTACAGTGCAAGAGGAAAAGAGAAGAGGCCCTTAGTTCACACTAATCCTTCCATGTTTTAGGGGTTCCACTTGAACTTTTTTGCTCTTTAAAATAATTCTGTCCAGTTAATGCACTACTATGTATTGATCAGGTAATTGGGAAAGCTCTAGTACTTGATGAAATTATTAACTACATCCAGTCACTTCAGCGACAAGTTGAGGTAGTTACTGAAGTCTTCCGTGTTTAATTCACATCCAAAATTTTGAATCTCATTCTTTCCTTAATATATTGCATGTCAAAGTTTTTATCCATGAAGCTCGAAGCAGTTAATTCAAGGATGAACTCAGCCATAGAAGGATTTCCTTCCAAAGGAAGTAAGTTACAGAGCTTGAAATGCTAGCTAGTTTAACGCCTTTAATCCTTTCTTGATCAGTCAATCTGTATTGTCAGTTCTTTTCTGACTGTCATTTTGGTGCTGCTGCTTTGTTTTTTTACTAGTTATAAGTATGAACAGAGAAACTGTTGAAATCTGTTTCATCGAGTGTTTGGGAGGACGTCCTTGGTAGTAAATTACATTAAAAATGAAATATGTTTCTGTTATAGGATCATGAAATGGTACACTTTGTGGAGTTTTGACCTGATGACTAGCTACTGACCGAAAACGAAATAAAATATAGATTCATATTTTGGATCAAAAGCAGAGGTGACAAGTTAGTTATGCTCCACGCTCCACCAAACAGTTCAGCATCCTGTTGTAGTTTGACAGAAAGATGCATATTCCTTTTGTTCCTTATCCGTGTCTTTTAACAAAAAAAAATTAAATTCAGTAAAAGTTCTTGTTGGTTTATTCTTGTCCCTTTTTATTCCAAAATAGCAGTTTTTCGTTTTTCGATGAAGAGTTGCGTGCCATTTTGCCTGTGGCAATTTCTCAACTCTTTATGGAGTGCAAGTACACATGGAAAAACTTGAAAGATTTGAGGAAGCATTTGACTCCAGATTCACATATTCTATGTCCTTCTGGGAATCTGACGGGTTGGTGAACATGTAAGAAAAAGAAAAGGAAACAGTTAATTGCCTTTCATAGTGTGAGCAATGTCTTACTGAAATTCGAATGACAAGGTATAGTCCTTGTGTTAATATTACTCCTCTTGGAGTTCCTGTTCAGAAGATGGAAATGGTCCCATGATTGACACCGCAGTCACCATGCCGGTGGTGAACTAGTAGTAGTTTTTATATCAGCATAGTTAACTCTTTTCTTCCTGGAATTGATATTTAACAATTATTTGGCTACAACATATAGATCTTATGAATGACTAAACATGATATACTGGGGGCCCAACGTACCACGTGATTTACAATTGGTTTCTGAGTGATCAAGCTACATAAATATACTAAATTTCACAGAGTAAAGATGTTGTAACAGTGGTATTTCCTGATCAATTACTGTAGCTTCTTAGCTTATTCTATAACATTTGATTATAATTCGAAGGTGAATATTCATCTGTAGATAAAGAAAAGTTCATCTGTATTTGGATTTTGACTTAAATTTGCAGTTTTATCTTCTTATGTTCTCGTACTGGTGCCTACAACTATGTTTGACTGCTTAACTTTAAAACAAATGAATCATGCCTTTTCTGCTAGGTCCTCCTCCTCATGTTTCATCCCCTATCAAGTATATGTACCTGCTGCTTCCATATTATCTCTCCTCTGTTTCCTTGTTTTGTGTAGTTATCCCTGATTTTTCTTTCAATTCTGCTCTGTCCAAAGCAAGTATATGCATTAGAACTGCTCGTCATTTCACATGAGTGTAGATGCAGTGACGTATTTGCATAACTAGTGCAAGAATGGTGATATGGCTCTTTTGGAAGGAATTTGCAGCAGTCATTGTTTACAGCCTCTGGCTGATTTTATACAGTTACAGCTTCCTCTTTTTTGTATTGAGATTAAGCACTGTTGCTAGCTTCAGTTTTGCTTCTGCCAGCTGAACATGTATTACATCTTTCATTTCCCCTTGTCTTGTGTAAATATATGTGTTTTTAAGATCTATCAGTTGTAACCTTCGTTCTGGTTTATGTGACTTACCCTAAATATGATCCACGCCCATTGTTGATTAGTGAGTGATTATTATTCATGCATTTAAAAGTTCATCATGTCCAGTAATACCTCAGAACTTTTTGAGTTATTTCTTTGATTCGGTTATCCCGCTTTCCAGCTTGCAGCTCCACAATTTGATGCTGCTGCAATGATCTTCGGCCAACAAGCACCAAGGGAATATGCTCCGGATGAATGGCTTCATATGCAGGTCGGTAGCAGCTTTGAAAGAGCAACGTGACAAATACAGCTGCTCTTCAGTGAATAGGAAAGTTGAGCAGGCATTTTATTCCTCCAGCTCATTGTCTTTGATCAAATCAAGGAGACTTTCAGTTATTTAATTTTACATCTAATGTAACCCTTTCGCAGATTGAAGGACATTCTTGAACTTGCTGTGAGTATGCCCATATGTCCAATTAGAAAACTGGATCTCTGTCTGATCTGACTAGTTCCTGTATTGACGTCTAGGACAAAATTGTAGCAATAGTACGTGGTGTAATTTATGTGTTATCCTTTGAAGATGCAATGGACTCTTACTGCAATTCTTTCATTAGTCGACGAAAGTTCAGCATCTGAAGTGGCACAATCCTAGATCCCAAATCCCCGTGATGGAAGAAACATTTCCTGGTACTCTGCCCCCTGGGAATCACAAACATGAAACGCCTGCCCTGAGGTCCAACACTTCTGAGTAGAATACATTCCCAGTGGTCACAAGACCTACAAGGACTTTCCCCTCAATGACTACTACTCCAGGAGCAAAGTCAACTCGATTCATGGAGATTCCCAGGGTGTTTAGCCCCGGAAACGCAAAAACATTTCCTTGTGCGACGCTGACTCCAAAGGCATTAGTAGTATTTCCCTCTTTGCTGAGTCCATCATCAGAGACAGGCTTGCAAGAGAAACCATTCACAGAGGGGGGGTCTTGGATCCTGTAGTGGATCGGGATCAGCAGATTGGGAATAAGGCAACAAGAAAACTGAGAGAAACAGCATTTGGTAGAACACCAGCTTAGCAGCCATAGTCAGTCGAATACAATAGTGTTTGGATAGAGTATTATTTGGAATAAATACTAAATGTGTTTATGATACAAGCGAAATAGAAAAACTTGAGCTGTCCAAACACATTTGCCACTCTGATGGTTAACCTTGCTGGAATTATTAGTTGAAATACTTTGTCGCGGTGGTGAACAGGTTAAGAAGTAGTACCGTATAATTCTTCAAATGACATTTTTGGGGGGATCAACTTTTCAATTTTCATTTCATGAGGGAGAGCAGGTGAAGAAATAAAAAAAATAAAAAAGAAGAAGAAGTTGATGATGTTGAAAATTGTAATCCATTGTTCATGAGTTAGAAAATTGTTATATATATATATATATAAAACATGGGTGGACACTTGCACATAGAGGATACATCATGTTTGAATTGAAAGAAGGTATTACATTAGGTTCTTGAACCTCATGCTAGTGGTCAAGGAGGGCCTTTTAGAGCTTCCTTTGGCTTGGCGCAAAACTTGAATAGGACGAAAATAAAAATGTTAGGAACACGTACGACTCGGTTCGTTGACAGCCCTAGAGTGGTGAGGCCTGGAAACTCATAAACATCTGCATGCATGAGTGACATTGATCGACGCCGTAAACGTTGAATGCTCCGAGACTTTGTTGGAACCCATGAAATTAAGAAGAAGTCCTGTGTGAAGATGCAGTGGCAGGGTTCTTGCAGGGAAAACCGTTGAATTGGTGGCATAAGTTTATGATCCACCCACTCAATGGTACAAATATATAGATAGATCAACAACAAACCTTACCATACATTGAATTAAACTAATTTTCACTATGCTAGGATGATCATGAAATTTCTCCTTTATTTTCGAAGCAGTACTTATTTTTAGAAGATCATCTATAAACTAAACATATTAAGCAGGTAAAAGATCATAGATACCCTCGTACCAGGACAGTATAGAAAGCGGGATAATCGGTTGTAAGGAGCTTGATTTAGAAGTGAAGTATAGCGGTGGATGCAATTGGTTGTAGTTGTACTTGCTACTGAACTTGGTCGATCCACCGTATATTGGCATGACTTTAAAGCTGACAAGAAGACGACGATATATTTATCGATAAGCACAAACAGAAAATTCAGAAAAATCAACATGGTCCAATACAGAATGTACTCAACATGGTCCAATACGATTCCAGTTATAAGTGAGTGAAAGTGAAAGAGCAATTATGCGTAAACTCAGCTATATACTTTTTTCCAATTATGATAATTTTGAGATAGGTGAAAAATAGAGAATTAGTAACTTGTCTAGTAGAAACTAAACATGAAAGAATTGCTTTATTTATATGGTATAACTTTATTGATAGTGATGTATCATAAAGCACGATTATTAGGAATATAAGCGAACCAAATCTACTTGAAAGCAACTCGATGCTCAATTCAGAAGAAACTCGACTCATCTTGATTTTATCGAACTTGAGTTCAAGATACTCGAGTAGCAAATCAAGTCGAATTCGAGTTACAAGATTACAAGTTCGGGTACTTACGAGCCTAATAGAGGATTATGAAATTAAATATATTATATATATTTTTTGAATTTATAAAATTACTCATGATACGTGGCCCTTCTAAAAGACCTATGCCCTTAACTTTCTCCTATCAGTCACCATCTCATCTTTTTCACACTTCTTTCTTCCTGATGTTCATCGAAACAATGTCCTCTCCTTCTTCTTGGGACTCTTTCTCCCTTCTATCTGGTGTTTGACCGTTTCTCTCTTCCCCTCTCCTTCATGCTCTCTGTCTTCTTGTTTAATCTTTTCCATATTTTTCATCTTTTCTAGACTCTAAAGCTATCGCAAGGGAGATAAAGGCATACCCGTAAACACATCCACCAATTTCATCGGGTGGGAGACTCTGGATTTAGACCTTACAAGACTCTAACCAATATTTCATTCCTCTTACCTTACCAGCATCATGGATAATTGTCACCTAATAACATTATTGTAGCAGTACTACTGGTTTATTTTTAGCTAGTCTTTTTATTAGTATATGTTTAGTACGTAACAAGATCATCTGGGGACCTGATGAGCTCAATTGATAGTTTCATTCACGTGGAATACTGCTTTAACACAGCAGTTGATCAGGAATCAAAGGCATAGACTCGAATAAAGCTGGTGCAATAATCTGATCAATCCCAGGATTCTGACTGTTAAAAGAAGTGAAGAAACGTACTGCATTTTCTTTCCCGACTTTGAGTTGGAGGTGCAGTACTAATCCTGGTGGGATCACAAACTCTTCACCAGAAAGATCACAACTTAAGTAATTTCCACTACAAAACATTCACCGTTGATACCCAGCCAACTCACAGTCTCCCCTCCATGACGAGGGACGACTCGGTTGCACGAGGGTGACGGAGGAACTCGATGCGATTCATTGACTGTCCTACGTTGAGACTGTCGAATATTTAGTTCGCTGCCCCAGTCTTGCAGCCTTCAAAGAATTTTTTTTTTTTTTTTTTGGTTCTAAGGGGAACTACAAGCCTTAACATAGGAAAGAAGTAATAATAATAATAATAATAAAAAGGGTAAAAAAACAAAAAAAAAAATCGTAGTAAACCTAATATACAGAAAAAAACTCTCCGTAATTTCAAAACGTACAACATGATACCCGATACTTTAAACTAAATTATAAAGGTGACGGAATCCTTTAAATTTAACGGAAATGGACGAAATGACCAAAATGTCCTGATATAATTAAGCAAAAGACAGTTCAAAAAAATCATTTGTTTTATTCTCTAGATAGACAGAATTGAGGTTTAAGGGATAGAACAGGTATATTTGTTAAAAATTAGGTATAAAATTTTTTTTTTTAGATTCCAATAAGTCATTTCCGTTAAGTTTAACGGATTCCGTCATCTTTATAATTTAGTTCAAAACATAAAATGTCATGTTGTACGTTTTGAAATTACGGGGGGCTTTTCAGTGTATTAAGTTTACCACAGGAGTTGCAGATCCGCAACGCAGTAATCCTGCACTGGACTTGGATCAGCACAATCAGAAGGCATGCAATAATGGCACGAGTGACAAAATTACCAAAGCAGATAATAACATTGTGGGAGGTCATGCATGTTTTTAATTATTTTGCTAGGGGAGACAACGGGCTGACTTCTTAGTTAATTGCTAGTAATATTTATACTAAAAGAAGTAGGCTTGCAAGAGATCAAACAAGGGGATGTATTTAAAGGTGATCTTGGCGGGTGATCATTCCAATATGATCGGAAAAAATGTTCAAGAAGGAGGCTCATCATCTGGTTTAGGTGTTAGGCATTGCTGAGGTTGGTCAGTTTTTGCCCAAATATTGAACCTCCTTCTTCTGATGGAGCCATAACTAAGGCGGTATAAGTTCTGAGCTGGTATACAAATTAATCCAGTCATGTCATAATTTTGTTTTAATTCATTAAGATCCAAAAGGGTTCAGGCTAAGCACTTGACTTTGCTGTTAAACAATGTATTAGCTTTTCCTATTAGCTACTTATCATTGGGGGACAGTTCGTCATTTTGCATCTTTAAACACACAACAGTTTATATATATATATATACCAATGACATATGCAATGACATATGCAATGACGCTGTCCACTAAGTACTTTCTGATGGCTGCATTTGTTATTTCTTTTTTACTTTGAGGGAAAATTCCGTCTATGTCATAAGAGAACTTCTCCCTCGAGAGATTTGCTTTAAATAAGGACATGAAATCATTTTCAAGCTATATTATTGATCTGATCAGCAAAGGATTCACTATCACAGCTTTCCACCGTACCGTTTGCCCTCCCGCAACTCCAACATGTTCAGTTACTAAAAGCCACACCATTTTTTATGGAGGAGGGGCTGGAACGGTTGTCTCTGACAACTGTTCCGGAAGGTTCACGGTCATGATTAGGCCAGGCTCAGATCAGATCACTTCTTGTAACTCAATTTTCACGCCGTGTGAAACTCACAAAAATATTGTTCTAATGTTACTTATTTTGTTATATTGTTACATGTTGTACAGATGATGTTATACGGTGTGCAAATGGTGTTACACCTTTCGGAACGGTTGCTCTGACAACCGTTCCAGCCCGGATCCATTTTTTATCACCTCTGACGTCCTTTACCCTACTACTGAAGGGTCTAAAGAAGACTTATCGCAAATTGGTGACAACCTGCAAGAGCATCATCATCTGCTAATCGTTTGAGCATGATCAACATCGATTACAATAATGATTGCATCACCAATTATTCTCACCGGACCAGGATTGAGCTCCCCTCTAATTAGGCGCAAGGCTTGAATTTCTTTAATCCAAATCTTATATATATATGTATGTGGATGAGAACGTTGGAAAAAATAAATGCTTCACCAGACTCGATCGGTCTAGTGAGAGGAGAGAATCTGTCCCTACAATTATACTAACCAAGTAATATAAGCAAAATGAGGAATGAAGGCTTTGAGGCAAACAACCTTGTACCAAGGCACTTGCAAATAAAAATAATCCCCCTTCAATCAAAGCATCATAAGCACCTGTATGTTAGGAGACTTGTATGTTTTATAAATAAAGAGATCAAGAATGAAGAATTTAAGATCATTTCCAATCCTTGAATACAAAACTCTATAATGATTCTTTCTTTTTTTTGCAATAGTAACTACTAGTGTTATTTCTTAGTTCATGCTCTAAATTCTAACCCAAAAAAAATAACAAATGATGGATTAGAATGCAAGTGATTTCTATGCAGTACTTGAGCATGTTTGAATCGACCGTGGACTCTTGAGAGAAATTAAGAGCCATAGTCATAAACTGGCTAATTTAGTGATGAAACTAGCAAGTTTGCCAGATAAAATTGCTGGCTTCATTTGGCAGCAAATTAAATTCGAGTTTTCTATTGCTTTTGTTTTTTCTCTAAAGGTTTGCAAGCTGAAGTAAAATTTGAAGTTTTCTTGTGATCTTGTCCCATATGCTGTCTAATTTATTGACTCTCCCCTTTCTAATAATTGAGCATTTGCAATTGCTTTTGTCATGTTGGGCTTGGCTGTGTGGCAGCAATAATACCAGTATGACGTAGTAATTAAAATATTATCTTCTTTTGTCTTCTTGTTGAGAACGGACTAGAAGAAGCTAGACAAAGCAAATTTCTTGAATATTGGTACAATAAAATTTAAAAAAAATGATTGAGTAGAGGGGGTTTTCTTGTTAGTGGATTTTTTTTTTTAATCTGAAATAGCCTGCAGTGTCTATTTTATTTTATTTTATTTTATTTTGGACAAGGTGGGCTGCCTTTGTTTTTTTCAGGTCCCTGCTACACAGCAGAGGCCAGTTTGTAAATAAGGCGGCCAACTTTTATTAGTATTTTTTTAACAGGGCATGGCGGCCTCCTTTTTTTTTTTTTTTTTCTTTTAAACCCATAGAATGAAGCCTTTAGTTCGTTTAGATAGCATAGGTTACAATAATATATCCGAGTTTCTAGGATAAGGGAACAGTACTCTCCTTGTTTCCTTACTTATCGGTTGTTTGAAGGTCAAGTTTATGTCCCCTTCAATTTCCTACTTTTTTCAAATTAATAACATAACTGGGCTGGCTGCCCATCTCGTGTACGGGGTTTCGCCAAAAAAAAAAAAAACTCTAATTTGTCATGTCATGGTCTCTGTGTACGTGTTTGCAGTGTTGTTAGACCCGGATCAAATCGGTCGGTTTGATCGGTCCGATCGTGAATTGTCCTTTTTTTTGAATTGATTTGTAGTACAAAACTGTTTTGGTCAAAAATTGGTTAAACCAGTGATCCGATTTGATTGGTTGATCCGATTCTCAAAATTTTCTTTCTTTTTTTCTCCAAATATAATTTGAATTAGTTAAATTGTAACACTTTCATTTATTAATAAGAATAAGAAAACGCCGCCCAATTAGTGTAAATACCAAAATCACTCGCTTTCTTGAATGATCTCTAAATCAAGATGTTTTCGTCCCTATAATCTTATCAATTTAGCATCAGTGATTCCAACTTATATTAATTTAGTTTTCCAAGTAGTTTTGGCGAATTGACATATTTAGCCATGAATTTAGATTTTTATATAAAATTATTAGGTGTATATTTGATTGCAAGTCTAATATTTTTGAAACATTTTCTATAATTGACGTAATATAATCAAGAATTTAATTTCAATATAAAATAATTATGACATCATGCCAATATCAACGAATTTTTTAGAACGATCCGATCCATCCAACCAGTTGACTCTTAATCTAGCAATTCAGCCGAATCGTTATCCGATTCGAGTGTTTGGATAGCAAAAATATTTCAAATTATATTTCGCTTGCATCATAAACACATTTCTCAATCCATCTTTTTATATTTTCAATTATCTTTTTATCTCACATACATCACGTCACAAAAAGTTCTACAGTAATTATTTCAAATAATACACTATCCAAACAATTGCATTTAATAACGTTGCTGATTGTGGATGATTTAATAACAATTTTTCGGCCAACTTGTTAAAGATTGTTAGCTTTTTTATGTATAAAGTGCTTTTCCGTGTTGCAACTTAATTGGTTTATCTGCTCTGACCATAAAATTTTTAAAGCGGGGTAGCTTTCATAAATGTTGTGTAAAATTATTCACAAATAATGCGGAGTCTCTTTTTCTGCTGTGATTTGACGTGCGACGTAGGGAAGGAGCAGAAGTTTGGACCACAAAACATCCAATCAGTTAGGACACACAGCAGCCCATGTTGAAAATTCTACCTCCAAATTGCTATCGTTGCCAGGGAGAGGGAGAACCCCTTTTTTTAAAATATTTTAATTCCTTTGTACCAGATATAATGTGCGCCATAAATAATTTTTTGACACAAGTTAGAAGGGAGGGTAATTGATCAGTTGGTCATCATTTGACAAAGTTTGCTTAGTGAGATTTCTTGTAAGCAATCCCTTCTTCCTTTGGTTGGTTAGATTAGCCAAAGATGATGTAGAAGCAATTGCTCTATTTTATGCAATACATACACTGTTATCGTTTGGCAAAAGAAAAAAATAATAATAAATGTTGCTTGAGGTTCAACTCATTAACTTGGTATTTAACTGTTTGAATAAGAATAATTATTTGAATAATCAGCAACTAAGATTAAATTATTACACAAGAAATTTTTAAATAAGAAAAAATTGGCTCCAAAAAATGGAGTTTGACGAAGATTCAATGCTTGAACTAAGTTCAATGAAATTAGGGAAGATCGGTGCTTGATCGTAAAAACAAAAGTCAAAACTTTTGGCATTTATTTTATTTTTACTAATACTTCTCTATTTTTTAGTTCACGTCAATATTTATTAGCAATAAAATTGTATCTATGGTTGAATTTTCTTTTGCCTATTTGTGGTTTCTTTTATTTGTCTTTTGTTTTCCTATTGGTATCGCGTTTGTTATTCATTATTCCAAAGTTCTAATTATCACATCTAATGAAGAAATTAGCATTTTCTTAGTTGCTATTTTAGAGTTATACTAAGTAATTGTATACTAACATTGAAGTGATACTAATCCCCTATACGAATACGAGAAAACAAAGAGTTGGATTGCTATAAGACGTTTTCACGAAGAGAAATTAAACAAGATTTGCTAAGTTGATACTTAGCAGTTTTACAAAATGCTAATTGCATAACAAGATTAATTTTGTATTAATTGTATAGCGTATGCTAATACAAGGAAACTAAGAATTAAATTGATAGATGACATGTTTTACAAAGAGAAATTAAACGAGATTCATTAGTTGATTCTTAAAAATGGCAATGATAAACATGCTGATTTTAAAATTATGACTATATATATATATATAAGTTATTTGGGGGGGGGGGGGGGGGGCGGCTGCCCATGCCCACGTCCCCTAAATCCCATCCCTAGTTATGCCCATAGCAGAGACAAAATGAGTGGGCGCATCTGCATAGTTTTCCGATCCTCCTTTTCCATCAACTAACAGCTGCCGAGCACCGTGCATGGATGTGTCACTTGGGTCCCCAACCCTAAGGGCCAAGGCTGATCTCCATGTCGTTCGCGATGGGCTCCGATATATGTTCCACTCGAGCTCGATCAATATCAAATTTAAGTTGAGATCGAGCTAATGAAGTCGAGTTTGAATTCAAACTTGAATTCAAAAACATTAAATTCGTTAATTCCTGAGTTCGATTATATATATTTTTTATTTTAATAATAAAATTATATATATTTTTAATATTTTATTATTTATTAAAAAAATTATTATTTTATTCATTTTAAAAAATAAAATAATTATTTTTTTAAAAAAATAAAAAAATAATTATTTTTATTTTTGTTTTTTAAACTGGAGCTCAAGCTCGATATTTTGGCCTCGTCGAGTTAGAGTGCGAGTTCGAGTTTTATAAAATTAATTGAAGATTCGATTCGATTAGATCAAAAGTTGATTCGACTCTACTCGTTTGCACCCTAACCAAGAGTACTGGTGCCATGCAATGCACGAGGGCCTCTTCTTCAGTTCTTCTATAAATACACCGCCATACTCGTTCCTTGGGATATCACATCGTACAAGCTAATTCCTAGCAAGCATACAAAACCTCAATTACCTTAGGCTACTTACCCTCTAGCTAGCAAATGCAAAACATGGCTTCCTACAATGTTATTCACCTCGTCATTTGGCTGACATTCTTGTCACTTGTGCAGCTACCAATGCCTTCCCATTGTGCTGATCCTGGTCCATTGCAGGATTTCTGTGTTGCGGATTTGAACTCCCCGTTGCTTGTCAATGGGTTTCCGTGCAAAAAACCAGAGAATGTAACTTCCAACGACTTCTTCTTTGATGGGCTGCAAAAACTGGGAACAGTGTTCGATTTCCTTAATGTGAACCTCACTGAAGTAGACGTCTTCGCATTTCCAGCGCTGAACACCTTGGGGATGTCCATGAACCGAGTTCAATTTCATCCCGGAGGAGAAAACCCACCTCATATCCACCCTCGTGCTACCGAGTTGTCCCTGGTCACGGAGGGGAAACTGTTTGTGGGATGGGTATCAACTGCATATATCCTGTACTGGAAAATTCTGACCGCAGGACAAGTGTTCGTGATTCCTCCAGGCTTAGTGCACTTTCAGCTTAATGTTGGAAAGGGAAACGCACTATTTTATGCCTTCTTTAACAGTCAGAATCCAGGGATTTCGAAACTAGCCCCCGCACTCTTTGCTTCCACGCCTTTGATTCCAGATCCAGTGCTCACAACAGCATTCAATGTGAATAAAACTATCATCGACCTCATCAAGTCCAGGGCCTCTGTGCTGATTCCATAAGCTCCAAATAATTAATTGCCGTTGCTTCTTATCGTCTACCAAACAAGAATGATACTCTGATCATTCACCCTAAAGTCTGGTCTTTTCTTTGCAATATATAAACCATCTGCAGATGGATAAAATAAAACATCCGAGGAGTCAGATGTTCGTAGTCATGAAATAATCCTCGTCTCACCACATGGAAAGTATGGATAAATTTATTGTGAAGTTTGTACCTTTTTTCTTTTTTCTTGAAGATGGAATGAGTGTGCTTTACATCAAATGGACATGTGTTACTCTTAATCTTCTTTGCATGAGAGTTGAGACCTAACAAGTCATTGCTATATAAACTATCTAAAGGATGCTAATATATATACATTAAGGTATATTGATACATCGCGTTTGTATAGCCGGTAAATTACCCACGAAGTCCCTAAACTAGTACCATTGACAAATTTTTGCCTCTTATCTATTTCAAATCTCAAATTGGTCCTTCAATAATAAAAATGTCAAACTTTGATTCTTCGGTTAATTTTTACGGTTAAATCAGTCAAAATTTGCCCTTGGATCCATCAATTTTAACGGTAAAATAAATTAAAGGGTCAAAATTTAATACCTTCTGCTGTCAAAGGACCAATTTGAAACTCGAAATAGATAAGGGCAGTGGCGGATTTACACTGGGGGCATGGGCCCCTACTGACTCCCTTAAATTCCTATGATACCTATAAAAATTTGATGTAATTTCAATTGTGCTCCCTGGAGTTTTGTATATATATATATTGGTTTATAGGCCTCCACTGTCCCTCTTAAATTTCAATAATACCTATAAAAATTTGATGTAATTTCAAGTGTGCCCTTTGGAGTTGTGTATCTATTGGTTTATATGCTTTTAAAGTTGTCTTTGATTTTACCTGTTGTTACAGCTATCGTATAAAGGGTCTTTTCAATAATGAATATAGTGAAGAATCGGTTACAAAATAAAATGGAAGACATTTGGATGAATAATTGTTTAGTTACTTATATTAAGAAAAATATACTTCGTGAAGTTCAAAATGAAAAGATTGTAAACCGTTATCAAAATATGAAAACTCGTTATGAGCAATTGTATATGGTTTCGTTTGCTTTTGAAATAAAATTATTATTACATTAATAATTTTGAGTTTGTTTTTTGATATTTTTCATGAAATATATGCATCATTTTGTACTTGCTGGCGAGTATTTTTTTTCCTTAAAAAACTAAAAAAAGAGTAGGCAAAAAATTTTAGAGTTGCTTTTACCCCTACTGAAAATTTTTTCTAACTCCGCCCCCGAATAAGGGATCAAAAATTGATGATTGAACATAAAAAATTTAACACTTCTTCAAGTTCCAACGTAGCAAGAGCGGACATAGTCACAGTATCGACTTGGCACAACTCTTAAAAATACGTGTACCTGCGGGCGAATGTGATGAATGACCTGCCATAATACATATGCTATATACTATATGCATGGCTCCTGGTTTTTCCAATGACTGGAGCTGGCTATAGGTCAAAACTATGTGATAAGTAGAAAGTAAATCAGAAAGGGATGAAAACGTATTACAACATGTGTGTTAAATCACGAGGAAAATTTTAGATTGTGACTCAGTGGAATCAGTGATAGAGCAACATTTTTAAGATTTTGAGTCACGGGGCAAACAGTTTAAAGATTATGACTGTGAATCCGTGATAATTAATGAGGTTTTGATTGTGACAGAGCAACAGATATGGTAGGTACCAGTGGAATTGAAACCAATACTCTGATATGATTATTTTAAATTTGACTAATCATTTTACCTTCGTTAATAAATTAATAAATGAAGACACGTGTCATGCATCCAAATGTGCTTTGCGAGAAACGAAAAGAGAATCTATTGAAAAGAAACCAAATCCACAAAAAGAATTTATGCGTACAAACAAAAAGAAACACGAAAAGGGATTTACCAAAAATAAGTAAGTAAATAAAAGGAGCAGTACTATAGGCAGATAACTAACTTCCTACCAGTATAATTAATCCTGAGGAAGTGATCAGCCATTTGGATAGGAAGTGAAGTGATGATGGTCATCTTGGACATGAATAGTAGTATTATTATTGCTATTATCTAACTTGTATATAAGAAAAAGCCGATTTACTGTAGCAACCCAACCCGTCTTGGACTTGGAGGCCTGGGAACGAAAGCACATTCACCTGAGTGAGAATCACTTCACTTTGAAAGAATTGAAGATTGCTCCCCTTAATTTCCTTGAGACCATCGCTGAAGAAGTCGTCTGAAGTTACATGAGCAGGGTTTTTGCAGGGAAAGCCATTTACGTGCAAAGCAGATTTCAGATCAGCAATAATGCAGAAATCCTACAATGGGAAGGCAATGGCATGGTAGCTAGCTAGCTAGCTAGCAGAACTGATGACAAAACTGCACAGGACAAAATCAGATGAATATTAATATCGCAGGAAGAAGCCATGCTATATGTGCTCAAATTTGCTAAGGAAGCCACCGAATGATATATAGCCTCGTAGTTTGCCAGACAAATTAGACTTAAAGTTGTGTGCTTAGGAGGGAATGTATTCAAAGATCGATCGATAACCCTAAGGGCCAGCAATCGAGCAGTATGATGTTTTGCTTGCCTGTGCATGGGGAAGACACGACTAGTTCCTTGTTGACGGGAGTATTAGTGATTAATTTGCTGCCAACCTACTCCGTATGATACAAAATGACAATGCTTAAAACGAAGGAAGCTTTTAGAAAGCTATGTAGGGAAGGAAGTTAGAAAAGGTATAAAATGAAGATATATTTCAGAGATTATTAGTTCAAATTTCCTAACAGTACTGTGGCAAATCGTACACCTAATATCCCTTATTTTGAATAGGTCTATGACATTCAGTACAATTTTGAGTTATATCATCGTAGAAGGTATACACCACATCCTGTGCCGCCACCATAAATCTTCCTTCTTCTTGATGTAAAAATTATTTAAAGGGAAACCACCACCACCAACACCCCCCCCCTCCCCCCAACAAAATCAGAAATCAACAACGGAAGAACGTCCAACCCAAGACTGCAATCTCATTGACATCTTGCCTTGGCAGCTGCACTGATGGGAATTACACCAGAGGGTGACACAAGCGCATCAACAAATACATCATTTGGGGTGACTGGAACAACACCCTCATCCATTATCTGCACTGAATAAGACAGAGCAACTGCACAACAAAGCATTCTACCATCATCCACCAGATTGACCTCTTAAAACAATTATTTCCCACATAAAAGCATCGAAAGTGACTTTACCCAGGAAAGGCTGCTTCCACTTCCGTTCCTTCACAAGCCCCTGATATCTCGTCAAGAATGCATCATAATATCTTTTGATTTATCACCGCGTAGCATCCAGAACAGTGGGTCAACAAAAAACAATAAAGAGTTACTGGAATGCACAAATAGCCAATGAAATGAAACAAACACACAACACGCTCTAACAAACACAATGGGAGAATTTTTTGTATGAACTTGTGGACACACTCAAAATATATCCAAAATATATATATCAGCTTAAGATTTGAAGGTATACAAGACAGAGATTAATTGAAGTAACATGTTCAAAAACCCCAAAGGGGGAAGGGGCTGAGTCCCAACACTAACTCTGCTTGCCAAGCATTGCTTCAACAACCCTGGTCCCTTGGCAATGGAGATTGTCTATTGCAGAACTTAACTTCAGAATTGGTATAACCGGTTGAGATGGATGCTTAACAATTGATATGAAAAAGTTCAGAGAAATAAACATCGGTGACATTTATTAAATTCTCAGCAAATGCATAAATTCAAATCTTTTACAGAGGTCATCACAAGGAGCCTTACCCTCCACCACGACCCAAACGTCTTCCAGATTTGTCAAATGCGAGTCCTGAATGTTTCGGGAAACAGTTATAAAAAGTTCATAACAATATAAATAAGTAAAGGGTACACCCAGATGAACTTTTACTCAAACAAATACCACTATGAAACTTCGGACAGTCATACACACAAATACCCCATCTTCGCTCCCCCAACTCCCCCTCCAAAAACTGGACCATGCCTTCCTTCCCTTTTTTCTTTCACTAGAAATGCCATGAATTACTTAGATTAAGATGGAAAAACTCACCAGGTAAAAGAAGCAAATCAACAGGATGATCAGCCAACATGACTGCACAAAAAAAAATAAAGATTAGTCTAGCATACGCAGGTTCAACTACATAACTTAGCCAAAGGAAAATAAGCCCAAACACATGTGTGCAAGTCACTCTATAAACTTATACTTTACATTCAGTATCCCAACAACTCTCCATAAAAGAATGCTTACAAGGGAAACACGAGGAAATGCAAGTTAAGCTCTATTAACAAAGAAAAGGCCTAGAAGCCGGATTTGTTGAAAAGATATTCCAGGCCACACAAGGGAAAGATTAAGAGTAAACGGCTGAAAACCAAAATATTTACAAAAATTACTTCGGTAAAACTGTAAAAGCCGCATACGTTAGTCAATATTACACTAGAAGGACTAATATCCTCTCTACCTGCTGTATCATGTCAAATTAACCTCAAATGCATAGAAACACTTGCAGAATAAGGTGTCCCAGGTATGCTTTTAAGGACAAAAAATTCGCAGAATTGGCCAATACGAGCGAGGTGTATTAACTAGTTAAAGCACAAGTCAAATGAAAACCCACAAATCAGTTTAAAGCTTATGGATGAAAAGCAACGTATACCATCTTCACGTTCCTTTCCCTCAGAATCCATTGGAGCTGGCTCCAAAATATTCATTGAATTTGCAATTAAATCATCCATACTTGAGATCTTCAGCATTCTCATGTGGCTATTCTTGTCCTCCACTCGTGGAACATAGAGTGTCTTCCCCATCTGTAGATAATCATCTTATTGAATTGAAGATGAACAATAAGGACTTGAGTTTGAGAATCAATTCATTTACAACTGCTAGAGGACAAAAACCATGATAACCACCCATTAAGTTCATTGCCATACTCAAAACAAACAAATGCATATGTAATAATCCATAAGTTCAAACGCACAAGTCAAATTTCTAATAGCCTGTCTTACAGATTCCAAATAACACTTCATGATCAAGCTCCTCAGACCCAGATCAGAGGAAAATTGAATGGCATACATTACATTGGCCAGTCTTCTACTGTCCATACTCCTACGTCTAAATCTTACCCTGGACAATATTGCCTGCTAGAATATAGGAGCTCTACTTCATGGAATACTCATGCATCTCTACAACCATCTTTTTTCCAGATTTCTTAACAGATGTAATCTATTCAACATAAGCAAAGTCAACAAAGCATTACAGCCACAGTCAGCTACATGAATCCCATAAAATATACAGGTCATTCACTTGACTAGTAAAACCTGATGATGCAAATCTTTTAAGACACCATATCATCCATCTAGTCCTCCCACCTCTGATTCACCAGCATATACCAGGGTTGTTCCCAACAAAGAGTCTCTATGAAGAGAGAGGCAAACGAAAATGGTATTCTAGATTTTCATCTTCTTTTGGCAAATGCTGTAGTTTTTTATTGCCTAAGTCTGTAGCACGACATATGATTGAAATTAGTAGATTAAAAAAATGCGTTGCCTACTTCTATCTCAGGCTAATTGTAGATTTTTCACATAAGAGTCTATTTACCTATGGAGCTAGATGGCCCGATTTGACATAAGACATAATTACCTAAAGACTCTTCATTTCTTTGGTAATGATATCTGAATACACTTTAACCTTGTCTAGTTAGCTTACCAGATAAGGTGAGAACTTGTGAAGTCAATCCTGTGAGTATGATTAAAATATAGTACCCATGACACTTATCGTAAACTACCTATTATACCCTCAGTGGCAGATATTTACCAGTAGTGATTTGTAAACCATCGCCTAAACCCCACCAAAAAGGTATCTGGTTGAGGTATTGGAGTAACATTGTATGTATTCTTTTAATATGCTAAGGAATGTCTAGTTCTCTAATTTGCAATAAAATTTTAATTCCACTATGCAGCAACCCACGCCCCAACCCCACCATTTTCAGTACTAAGCTTTTTAAAGAAGCTGGTTTGAATTTTTCCACTTTTAACATCTATTGCAGAAGAGAGAAAAGAAGGAAAAAGAGATAGGAGAAGTTTTACCACTCAGAGAGAGGGAAAGAAAGGAGATGGTTCAAAACCCTTCAAGCTTCAGAGCTAAAAAAATATTATCTTCAATCATTATCTTGTCTCTGTGTTTACCCTAGCTTCCTTTAAGCTTTGAATCAATGTGATTGTTGCTAAACATGCATTTTTCTAAATTGATTTCTTGTATATCTCCTAGATTTCAACCAAAAATGATAAGAACATCAAGATATTGATGAACAAAAGAAACACAGACATAAAACTTGAGAGACAGAAATTAATTCAAACAATGTGTAGCACAAATTGATAACTTATACATTAGAATGAAACAAATAAAGATTGAGAACTTATTGAGCTCTCTCAGTCTAAGCACAGTAATGGTTTTACCAGTCTATATGTGCATTGCACTTTGCCTTATCATGTAACTTTCCAATAACTATTAACATAAAAAAAAATTAAAAGCTTGTAGGTGTTATGCTGTAAGAATGTTGTGCTAATCAAAGCTACAGTTTGTATTATGGAGCATATCTTGCTATTTCCCTCATAAGCAATTAAGTTCTCATATGACATCTTTAACTTAAGCTTCACAGGAAGCCTCAATAGGCTCGTATCCAATTTTGCGGGCCTACTTCTAGAACTGTTCAACTCAACTTGACCCCTCACTCAATCTCAATTCTCTTTCTGTCCATGACCTGCTCTACCGTAGTTAAGATTTACTATCTAGCAACCGTTTATGGAAGTAGCAATGCTTGGTTTTCGGGTTGAAATCCTTGCAGCTATGAACTAGCCCCATAGTAGACAAATTTAAAATGTATAACCGGACAGCAAATAAATACGTATTATAGCATAATAAAAATAAGAGTAAATCTTATATACACTGACAATGTATACACTATCACCGTTTGATTCATGATATGTGTGCAAAAGTTGAATTTCAAATTCAAATTTTGAAATTCAACTTTTGCATAGTTGTCATTCATCCAACGTTGACAGTGTATACACTGTCAGTGTAGGAAAGATTAATCCTAAAAATAAACATGGAATATGTGGTAGACACAAAACATACATAAGAATCCCAAGTAACACAGCGGAACATGTTGGCAATGGAGTCAAAACATGCACTTGCCCATCAAATTGAAGGGGGAAAAAGTAAAAATGCTATGCTTAAATCAAGGCATTCCATCAGACATGATCTAAGAGAGTTCCTGCAAATCCGTAAAGAAGGCATGAGCTTATATGGTAATACATTGTCCGAAGGATAAATGCTTCACCTATGCATAGCTTAATGCCAATACAAGCTAAGACCTACCTTGTTTTTTTTGGTTCAAGGGGAGTTGTATCTCTCTATTTCTTTCATTAACATTCTGTTAGCATTCTCGAATCAGCGTCAACTCAGAGGACAATTTTCAATCACCAACTACATTCTTTTTCATACATACAAAACATGATGCTGAGTAGGAAACACGTAAAAGACTTCAACTTTGTTGCAGAAGTAATCAAAATTCAACTGATTTAGGACTAACCACCTAAAAGTTCAAGATTTACAGCATGCTAAAGAAGTTGATTAAGAAAACATTCTTCAAATGGAATCAACTGGGCACCTAGACTATAACAAAATGGAACAAATTCAACAACAATTTTTAACAGAGAAATTTTACAATTACAAAAGAAAAAATAAAGGAAAGAAAGAAATGACAAATAAAAAAGGCTTAGGGAGAGATAAAGAAAACACCTTTGGATGAGTAATTGAGAATTTGGGCCAACAATTTAGACGTATCAACTTCTCTTAGTGCGCTGCAGCTTATGTAAGCACATAATTTCTGACAAGACTTGAACCAGGGAGCTTCCAGTACAAGATTCTGTACCGCATCATCTACATGGATAGTTTTTTTGAGAGGGGGGTGGGAAAGAAAGAGACAAATGCGGTAAAATTTCACCTAAAAGAACTGAACCCATTAAAAATAAATAAATAAATCCTGCATAAAAAGAAGATGAAAAGCACAAGTGTACCTTCCTTCGATCTAAGGGTAGGGTCCATGGACTTGAGGTCTCTTCTGACTTTGGAACGAAGGGCCTTCTTCTGCTTGAAAATGGCGTCCAGGTTGAGTGGGTGGTCAGCAGAGGTGGTGGTGGTCATGGTGGAGGCGGTGGTTAAGGGTGAGCGTGGGGGTGGCGGATGGTACTGGTAAGCGTGGCCGAGTATAGGTGTGATGGAGCGGGTGAACAAGAGTCGGGCGCTAATGGTGGATACGGAGGAAGGCAGAGCAAAGGGTGACGAGGTGAGGAGGGCGTGTGGGCGGTGGTGGCGATGGGTCATCTGTTGTCGGGCCAGTTGCTTCACCCCATTTAGGCTCATCTACTCTATCAGTTATCACCTTTATGTAGAAAAAATTTGAAAAAAGAATGGAAAAATGAATTAAAACAAAGAAAATTTAATTTTCCTTTCTTCACATGGTTGTTGTTTTATACCTCAAAAATAGGGCTGAATATATATGAAAAATCTCAAATAAATTTGCAAACTAATTTATATAAAAAATGGAATTTGAAAGATAATCAAGTAGTTACAGCTACTCAGCCCCCATTACAAGAAATTAGAATAAACACTATTGAAGGAGATATAACTGCATCACTTTTTAAACAAGGAAGAGAAGCAGAATCAAGCATAAATAATAATGGGTTTGTTTGGATAGGAAAAGTTTAGATGATTTGGATTGAAAATTTGAGTTGTATGATTTACCATATCTGAATATGGTTTTGTGCTAGATGTTTGCAATTTGAATTCTGGCGGATTGGTGTAATGAGAAAGGAATGATTACGTGACTTTTGTCAGGAAGGTGGTAGATTTCACTTCCTTTGCTAAATATAGTGCGCGGGTCCCACAGTTTGAGTGAAAGGATTCTTATTCTTTTTTTTGTCGAAACGATAGATGTCCTATAATCTAATCTAGCATAGTTTAAGGGGAAGGGGAGGGGGTTCGATGTGAGTACAGACTCCATCGATGAAGGTCAATTAAGACCGCCACAAATTGTGGCAAATTTGTGGGAGGTAGGGATTGAACCCCTGACCTCACAAATTGTGGCAAATTTGTGGGAGGCAGGGATTGAAAGGATTCTTATTCACTCATTGACACTTGATGAATTGGGGTGTATGGGCTAATTATAGTGCGCGGGTCCCGCAGTTTGATCAAAAGGACTCTTATTCACTCGTTGGCACCTGATGAATTGGGGTGTATGGGAAGCGAATTAGTTATCGGTATTCCTTCCATATAACATGCCCGAGAGCGTCGACAACATTTTCCACATTTGCAAAAAAAAATTGGGTAAAATACATTAAACCCCCTTATGATTTGGGTTATTATCATAAAGCCTCCTCATTGTTTAAAAACTCTCAAATAAACTCCTTGTGCTTTGGACTTCTTTGGAAAATGGATGGAAATCATCCAAATTGACAGAAAGTGAATTACACACGCTTGACAAGCGAGTGTGATAACAATACATCAAGGGTAATGTGATAATTTTACATTTTCTTTTCTTTTCTTTTCTTTTTTTCCTTGTTCTTTCTTTTTTTTTCTTTCTTCTGAACTATCTGGAATAGAAAAACAGAAGAAAAAACTGAAGCAAAATCAACACCAACCTTTGTTAATCTTACTTTTCTTTTTTTCTTCTTTCCTTCCTCCTTCTTTTCTTCCTTTTTTTTCATTTTTTCTCCTTTCCCTTCTGGTGCAACTACAAGTAGAAACCCAAAGCTCCATTACCTTTGATAAACCCTCTCAAATCGGACTTGAATTTCTCTCACCAACTCAAAATCTCCCTTAAACATACAATTCACTCGATTCTTGAAGCCAGAGACACCACCATCTCATAGCCTTCAGGTGATCCCTTTCCCCTTCGTTCTCATCCACCGCCACCACCAATTTCGCTTCGCCGCTGTTGCCATCGGCACTACTGCTTAGATTTCCTGGTATGGGTCGCATCGCCAAGTCCGTCAACGACCACAAGGCCAGTCTAGATCTCATTTCGATAGACAATCTGCCCAAGCCACTCATCATTGCAGACGTCTCTCCAACTCCGATGCATGGCTTGAAGCTCCATATTGCCCACCAAGGTGTTCCCGGAGCTTTCAGCGAAGCCACTGCCGGCAAAGTTTATATGAACATGCGAAGTGGGTTTTCATGAAGAAATTTTGCGAGTTTTAGTTGAATTTTGATTTCTTATTGCCCAAATCTAATACAAGTTGACTTTAATTTGAGCGGTTTCTGCTTAATTTAGTATTGAGATTCTTGGCGTTGATATTAATTTGATCTGATCCATTTTAGTATGAAGGAAGAAAAGAAAAGGAAAAGGAAGAAAAATGCAAAAAAAAAAAAAAGAGGCCTGGTATAAATGATTGATGGTTGAACCTAGAGATGATGACAATGGAAAAGCCATCAGTGTTTGCAGCGTGAAAGGCAAGTTGGAGAAGATGACTGTTTGGAAAAGATGAAATCTTTTTAAAATTTCAATTTAGCCCCTTAATTTACCTTTTGTTCTCAAATGAATTAAGAAATTTAGTAAAATAACATCTAAATCCTAAATTAACTATTGGTACATTTTGAAAACGGGGTCAGCATTGGAATTTTACGTTTTTTCGTCAATTTGGATGATTTTCATCCATTTTCTAAAGAAGTCCAAAGCACAAGAAGTTTATATGGGGTTTTTAAACAATGAGGAGGTTTTATAACAATAACCCAAACCACAAGGGGGTTTAATGTATTTTACCCAAAAAAAATTTTGGGTTTCGATTTTTTTAAAAACCCAACCAATTATAAGTACGGTTAAATCTTAGGACAGGATAAACCCCAGGTTTTTTTATTCCAGCTTGTCAAGTGACTAGCACTAAAAACTCAAGAGTTATGGTACAAATACCACATGACATTAATGTTTCGATTATAACGAAAGGCAACAACCATATTATTAAGAACGAGAAATATATTTGGACATCACAAATATGACAGTGATTCTTGTAACTCTTCGAGCCTCTAGCGAATAGCAAATCACTGCTTCGTGCACGATTTCGCGTATTTCTATAGGTATTGAAAATATGTGTCACCATTGTATCTTTCATGGCAATCCATTGCTGAACAGCTTCAGGAGGAGAATGCAATAGCTGTATCTCGGGATATGGAGGAATTGCACCATGAATATCTGGATCCCCCTCGTACGGGTTAGCAAAGTACATATCATTTGGTTGTTGATCCCTAATGAAGTTATGCACGACACAACAAGAAATAACTACATTTATCTGTGTTGTCATCATGTAGTTCAGAGCGGCTTCCCTTAAAATGCCAAATATCCTTTTAAGGACATCGAAATTTCGCTCTGTGACATTCCGTAGTACAGAGTGTCGGTAATTAAAAAGTTATTTCGCAATTGCAAATCTCCCTCTCCTGCGACCACTAACATCCACTTGGCGTCCCCTATATAGTGGTAAGAAATTGGGCAAGTTTCGATACGCGGAGTCAACTAAATAATATTTTTCTATGACAATTAGAAGATACGATCGAATTAGTTGCATTTTGTACTTTTTTACTATTTTTCAAATTATTCAATGTCCCAGATTTTTCAATTGGAAAAGACAAAACAAATAATATAAGGGCTAAATCAAATCACTGTGGAAAAGAAAGTGAAAAGATAAATAATTAGATTTTCTAAGGATTGGGATAAAAATATACAATTGAGGCCTTAATTTACGTGAAGGGGTGAATTACAAATTATACTTGTAGGAGGCACGGGGAAGTGATTTGGGCTGGTCAAAATTCCATCCAAGACTCGAGCATCATGTGCACTTCGCTCCCATCCGGCATACATATATACAAATCGCATATCATTGTTGCATACAACTAAAATATTTTGCGATTGTACACCGCGTCTATTAGTGCATGCCACTTGCTGTTCTCTGGGACAAAAGCAGGTATATGTGTCCTATCAATAACCTCGACGCAGTCCTTCAAAAAGAAACTATTAAATGGATGAGGTATAAACTAGTATATGAATGACACGTGTTCTAAGTACACTATTAATATGGCCTAAAAATAATCCACTAATTTCATATACTAACGCCAAAAAAGGAAAAACTAAAAATCTGTCACCATATTTTCCTATGCACAACGCTTTTTGCCACTTTTAATAGCCCTGTATGAATTCCTATGGTGAAGTGTGCTCTTGTTGGAAGGCGAGACAACACCTGTATTCACGTTAATTAGATGAAATTTGAAAAGAAAAAGATTTATATTCGAAAGCAATTTTGATATCACCGTACTTCAAACCAAGGATAAAACCTCCTATCGTTCATAATTTTCGAATGAATTTCGTCCTGCCGTCTTGGAGTAATGATGAATTGCGCGAATGTGCATAGGCTCCGAATAACTTCATGAATATTGTGATGCACTGTCTCCGTCGAATGGTTAAATCGATCAGCAATCATGTGCATTCTCATGTTGTGGCTCATCATGACTAATGTCATCGCAAGTGCCTCCTGTATTGTAACACATTTCTGATGATTTTGGGGAACAAATCCACGTTCGGTCAAAAGTTGGCACAATCTCATGAAAGAATCAACATTTAACCTTGTTGCATTCATAATTCGGGTATGGTGGCCTGACTTCAATTCTTCAATCCAGTGTCGTCCTGATAATGTCGACGTCCTGCATGGTACCTTCTGGATTGAGCTATGGTTCTGCATGATCCAAATAATAGCGCACCACCAGCAGCAAATAGAAGATCATATTCGTCTGAAGACGAGTTTGTTCCCTGCACATCACCAAATGCGCTCATTTGGATTTTTTTCACCAAAACAGAGTTAGAATGGTGCTTTCTTCGACTAGATTTGCTAAATGAGAGCTGTATGGTTAAATGCGCTCACATGCTCTCTTTCTTTTTATGCTATCTGTATGTCCCTGGAAAATCTACAAATTTTTGCATCCTTTTAAAGGCCATGACCCTTCGCAAGATTTTACTTTTTCATATGTCCTTGGAGGTGTTCGCGTGAATAATAGTGCAGTTATTTCCATTATTACTAGCTCACATGAGTCGTCTTTGGATTCCATTACGAATGACCTGTAAGCAGCTTTTGTCTCTCCATGCGCGCTTCCATTCATTCCCATTTTATTTGTATGCTTACGATAACGTCCATTGAGAAGACTGTATGAGACGTCAAATCTCATAAAAAGAAATATGGAGGGAGCGATATTTTTTCAAATCACGCGGTACGTGTTTGAGCACGTCAATACTTTGCCAATTTGAAAGATTATGAATATAGGGTGCATGTGCATAAAGGTGTTTTGAGGTCTATATAGCATCAGGTTATTGCTTTTGCTGTCTATTATA